TCGCGGCGGGCGGCCCGGACCCCAGGACCCAGACGGCCTCCGGACAGACTCCCCGGCCCTGCAGCCTCTTCCGCTTCCGCACTGCTATCCCGGAGGGGCGGGGAGAGGAAGGCGCGAGAGGACTATTGTGACACCTGGCGGAGACGTGGGATGAAACTGGAATTCCAATTTGCAGAAGAGGAGTGGGAGGGTGTTGTGGGGGTACCTATCAGGGGGTGCGGTAGTGGGGGGACTTTGACATTGTCTGTGGTTGGTTAGGGAAAATAGAGTCCCGTTTAAAAATAAACCAACCCTGTTCTCTATTTTTTTCTTTTTTCTTTTTAAGATTTCCTGCCCAGGGGTGTTCCTTCCTGACAAGCAAGATGTGTACCTTGGGGTTTATCTCCTGAATCAGTACCTGGAGACAAACTGCTTTCCCTCTGTGTTCCCTATTATGATTCAGCAGAGGATGAGATTTCAAAAGGTGATCTTGACTTTCTCACTGCTAAATAAACATTTAAATGTTGCTGTCTGAAGATCATGTAGTGGTTCTCACAAAGGACACAGTTCTTATAAAGTTATTTTGTAAATTTCCTTTTAAAACATTGCTAGAAGGCCCCTGAGCACAGGGCAGAACCATTAGTTGGAAGACTTGCTTTTGCAGCCCAGGTCAGAGCCAAGTTCTGTCAACCTAGTGCTAAACACCGTGGTCAATGACGTTTTCTATTCTGGGAACTCCCATGGCATTTTCTAACTGGAGCAGAGAGAGCAGTTTCTGAATGTTCTTGGAGATGTTAGAGGCGGTTGCATTACATTTACGGCAGGGATAATCAATAAACTAGTGGGCCTTAGAAACAAACCTTTTTTAACTCAAAAAAATGATGAAAAACTATAACCAAATTAGTTATATCCTGTATCTGAAATCTATAACAAAACAAAAAGGCTCCTCAGACTTGAGTTTTCTTAGGCCATACTTGGTTTATTTATGATTATGATATAAACTAGAGGCCTGGTGCATGAAATTTGTACAGGGGAGGTGTCCCTCAGCCCGGCCTGCACCCTCTCACAATCTGGGACCCCTCGGGGGATGTCCGACTGCCAGTTTAAGCCCAATCCCTGCAGCCTAACCAGCAGTCGGACATCCCACTCGCAATCCAGGACTGCTGGCTCCTAACTGCTCGCCTGCCTGATCGCCCCTAACCACTCTGCCTGCCTGCCTGATCACCCCTAACCTCCTCTGCCTTGGCCCCCGCCGCAGCAGCTTCGTCCAGAAGGATGTCCAGAAGGTTGTTCGGCTGTCTGGTCTAATTAGCATATTATGCTTTTATTATTATAGATAGTCAAAAGCATTACCAATCTTTTCCCCGCTTTGAAATATTTAATTTTATTATTACACAATCACAGTCCTTTGAAGTTTTTGTTTTGGAATTTGGAAATTAATCAGTCTGATTCCTTGAACCTTGATGAATCTGATGATTTTGCCCCAAACAATATCACTGAGGTGGTTCTTTGGGGGAAGAGGATGAGTATGGGTAGGCTCCAGGTAGTCTATCGCTTTTAAAGGTATGGATGGTGGTGCCCAGAAAATGACCTGTTTTGACCTGAGAATACGAGAGGAGATGAGGATTGATTGCCTAAAGGGCTAGAGCTGTATGTAATATTTTAATCCATTACAGTATTAATTTAAATAAAGTCTACAAAACTGGTTGGATGATAGAGGAGAGGAACAAATGGATATTACCTTGGAACATACAGTTAGAATCCAAAGACGCCTACTTCTACCATTTAAATGTTAGTAGTGGTAAAAAGTGGGTGGTAGAAATCCAGTCTATTCTCCCACCCCTACCCCACCCCCCAAGAATGTCCTCATGTTATCAATTTTAAGTTTGCTTCTATAAAAGATTTTAAAAAATCTTTTTTTTGGGGTAAGAAGCCCAAGGATACAAAGTCATAGAAGCACAGAGTGATAAATTTGTAAATGACTTTGAAGGTCATTTAGTCCAACCTCCTTGACTTGTCGAAGAGGAGGGTGAGCCTCAGAGTCACATTCTGGAGGCCACTATTGCTCTGTTGCAGAGCTGTGCTTATGAGATATACCATGGAATATTTTTCATCTTATAAAGTTTAATTAAATAAATGCTTTATTTTGTTTTTAAAATGCTTTACTTTAACTTCTGAAAACTGCCCTCTTGTGTGAGCTGTTTGGGTTCATAATCCAGCTTTCTTTCAGTTTGCTCCAGCTTTGGCTGTACCTGTTCCATTCTTTTGTTGCAAGTACTTGCGTCTGTTCTATTCTCTAAATGTAAGTACTTGCAGCAAGTAGAGAAAACCTTTTCTCCTTGGACCTTCTGTGTAATTCAGAATTGAATGTGCTAAAGCATTTGGATAAACAAATTACTCCTGAAGACTGCATGAGCCCTTGTGCTTGAACAGTTCATGTTGGTCATTTACTCCCTAAGATCATACTTGAGGATATCCTTGGACATAGATGAAGTGAAGGGCTGAAATAGTTTAGGGGAGGAAATCACCCAGATTTCCAAGTCAGTAAATCCAAGTCAGTAACACAAAAATGACAGGGGACAGCCTCATTTTTGTAGTTAAAATAGACCTAGTTTTGAATTAAGAGCAGAGTTTAACCATACTTAGGTTTAAACACTATTTCAATCAGAACTTTAAAACCTGACATTAAACTCTGCTGAAAACTTTTTTTTTAAGGTGCACTAGAATTCAAGGAGAGGGACATAGTATGCCTTTTATTTCAGTCCTATCCCAGGCCCTTTTAATCTAAAGGATGAAATATGCAGACTTGGCATTGGCTAGACAGGTATCACAGTTATTTTCTTGTGCTTCGTGATACACTTAACTTACGAGGCTTTCCCTCTCTCTCATTATTTTTGAATTTTGTGGGAGTGTAGCTACTAGCACTTAGCTTTCCTTTTGTGATTCACATAGTTAGAATTTTTATTTATGTGTTGTTGTTTTTTAGCACAACCAATCCCTTGACAAGATAAGTCATTCATTCAGTTAACATTTTATGAATATCTGTGGTATGCAGATTGTGTTTTAGGTATTCAAGACTCTTTGAGGTTGATGCCAGATATGCTTTTAGCAACTAACTGTAGGGCTAGGTCAAGTTGATAACATTTTGAGCATGTGGTAGATTCAGCTAACGTAGATTTTCCTGGCACTTGGTATTGTTTTGCTAATTCTCATTCATTTATCCTATAGTCATTTGTTGAATTTTTAACCACATACCTGTTAAAGGTATTTCTGCTGAATCCTAAAATATTATATGGCTGTATTTGATATGTGTTAATTATTTGGAAGAATGTAATCTATAATTTCTGTAAGTATATATTAATGAAACTTTGAAAATTTATTTTCCTCATTTTTTTCTCCTGCAGTTATTTGAAAATGCAATAGATCCTGGAGCTGTAGCAGACATTTTAGAAAGTAGGTACTCTCCATCCCTCCCCAACCCTCCCAAAAAAGAGAAAGACTATTACATTGTGTGTCTGTAATTCACAGATATAAAATTCTACTATTTTCTAAGTTGTGATACTTCCCTGTTTGATCTATGTTAATACTCAAGAGAGCCTGTAAAATTTGAATCATGTTTTTTATTTGATTACAAATTCTTTTCTAGATATAGATAGGATATACTAGAAGATACAATTCTACTTGTTTATTTTTTATTTTATTTATTTAAAAAAATAAATAACAATATATTTAATTCCCATTAATTCCACTGTTGAGAATTCAAAACTGGTTAATTGCCCCTAACCATGGTGCTGTTTAAATTAAATGGGAATTAAATGGACTGTTATAGCAGTTTCAAACCTAGCAATTAATGAAAAATTCTGGCAATTTTCTAAAGTATTAAAATCTAATTTTTTCTTTTTTAGGTATTTTAACCAGGTTTGAATTAATACAGCTAGTGCCTCCAGGTAATGTGCCAGTAAATGCATTTCTAAATTAGCTTTTTTTAAATTTAAAAGGATTTTGGCATGACAAAATGAGGACTGGTATTTAAAAGTCGTCCCTTATATAATACTCACTATTTCTCACCTCCCACCCCCTCATCAGTCAGTTTCATTTTGTCCTCTTTCAGAAGAGTAACTTTATGGGTTTGGTGGTTTTATGACTTTCCATATTTTTATAACTTTAATTAGTATAAAACTAGTAGTCCTGCGCACGAATCCGTGTGCCAGTAGCTCACTGCTGCCCTCCTGTAGCTCTCCGCCCGCTGCCCCACCCTCCTGTGCCCCACACCCCCCTCATAGCTTGTTGTCCTGCCCCCTCCTGTAGCTCTCCGCCGCCCGCCCGCTTGTAGGTCGCTGCCCCACCCTCCTGCTGATCCGTGATCCGGTCGTTACACGGTCGGTCGTTACATAACGACCATTTGCATATTACATCTTTATTATATAGGATACTTTTTTCCATCCTGGCTCAGCTTCTTTCAAGTTTTTGCCTTTGACTATGTTTTAATTGTGGAGTGTGTGAGTGTATATGTACGTAAAGCCCAAAGCCATCTTCTCTACTAGTTGCTACAACAGGGTTGGCAAATCCAGCAGCACTGTTTCGTATGACTCATGAGCTAAATCTCTACACTTTTAAAATTGAGATTTTATTCATATACTATAAAATTTACCATTTTAAATACAATTCAGTTGTTTTAGTATGCTTACAAGGTAGTGCAAGCTAGTGATCACTATCTAATTCCAGAAATTTTTATTACCTGGAAACATACCCCATACTCATTAGCAGTCACTCATTATTCCTTCCTTCCCATAGCTCCTGGCTAC